GGAGTATATTCGATGCTATTCTAAGGCGACTCCGTTGGTACTGAGTGATAGCAGTAGTAGTGAGAGTAGTGATGACGATGATGAGCCATCTGACTCTGAGGGGGAGGGTATGAGGAAGGAGTCCAAGGCACGGGAGGCTATCAGGGCCAAGCTTGCTGCTAGGAAGGCGGCTGGTGGGTTGAAGAAGGAAAGTAGGGGAGAGGCAGGGGTGAAGAAGGGCAAACTTTGGGCGAAGTTAGCGATAGGAGAGGAGGAGGAAGAAGAGGGTGTAGTAGATGGAGGGGAGTATGAGGGGAATGCATGGGAGGGAGAGGTGGGAGATGGGGAAGAGGTAGACGAGGAGGAGGAGGAGGAGGGAGGAGAGGAAGTGGAAGAGGAGGATGAAGGACAGGAAGAGGAAGGAGAGGAAGAGGAGGAGGAGGAGGAAGGAGAGGACGAAGAGGAAGCGGAGGAAGGGGAAGAAGAGGGGGAAGCGGAGGAAGGGGAAGAGGAGGAAGAGGAGGTGGTAGAGCAGAAAGAAGAACAGGAAGAAAAAAAGGAAGGAGGAAAGAGCGGATGTAATGCTCACCTCGCTGTCTAGTCTGTGTGCTAGAGTTTTCGCTTTCGAAAAATGAGTGTTCCGCGCGAAGTGATTCTCGCATATTGCAAAAAGTGTAAGCTTGGACTGCGTCGTCTCCAACATAACCATCGAAGTGAGCAACCACGCCGTAGCCCACTTTGCTTCCAACCCCGAAGGGTGGTAGTCATCTCCTGTACAGTAGGATGTAAGATAACTGCCGTCCGACTCCGAACCCGATGAGAGGCGACTCAGCCGCCGCCTCAAATTCACAACTGCCGATTCAGCCATGTCAGACTGCTGGATGTACCAGCTCTCCCAACAACAAGGTGAAGCACGCTGTGTCACCTTGAATGCCTACACTAGCGCGGAGGGTTCTGTGCGTGGTAATTCCGCTTCCACTATTCTTCCTGCATAAGGTTGCCACTAACGTCACTGGGTTAGAAGGCTCCGCAGTGGAAGCCTTGTGCCAGTCGTAATTGGTGCGAAACTCTCCAGCCACAACGAGTTCCGCACGGGATACGGAATCTTCAATACCTTTGGTTCAACACGAAAAGTCGCAATTCTATGTAGTCATCAACATCAAAATCAGCAGCTTCTTCTGCGCCTCCAGAGTACACGTGAATTCCCATCCATGACCTGAATGCTGGCTTGGGACCTGTCACTGGGTTGAGTGCATGTAGGAGGACTTTTGTGGCAATAACGACTTAGTGGCTTGTGATTCGCAATCGTCTCTAGTTGTGTAGGGGCCGTGAGCGTTGTTCGCTTTCTGGGCTGCAGGCGTCCTAATGCGACGTGGGTCGCATGCGCTGTGGTTTTCCATGTCACGGCTGAAACTTGATTGTAACGTTCAGGTGGTCTCTTCGGGTCTGCCGCCTCTTCCTCATCTTCTTCCAGCGGCTTTGCAGGCTTCGGTGGTGGAGCAGCAGCAGCCCAGTCATCGTCCTCCTCTTCGGCTAGTCCATTTGGAGCCCCACCGGGGGCCTTCGGGTCCAAACCCCCTGCATCGAGTGAGTCCCCGGCCTCTACACCACCTGTCTACTCTCTACCCGCAGGTCCCTTCGGGGCTCAGTCCAGCAGTGGAGGTTTCGGTGCATTCGGGTCTTCACAGAGTAGCAGCAGCAGCAGTACCCCCTTCGGAGGCGCCTCCACAGCCTCGTCTGGTGGCGGCTTTGGTGCTTTTGGAGGGAAGTCGTCAACCCCAAGTAGCTTCCCTTCCCCCGTGGCCGCCTCCAACCTTCACCCCTCAGGTCCCTTCGGCTCGGCAGCCACTACTGGCGGTGGCTTTGGGGCATTTGGGAGTGGAGAGGCTTCGTCCAGTAGCGGCTTCGGCGCCTTCGGTTCGACGTCCTCCTCCTCGGCTGCCCAGACAAGCTTCGGCGCTTTTGGTGGAGGAGCCCAGAAGGGCGGACCCTTTGGTGAGCTTATCCCAACTCCTCCTCTACAACCACTCCAATTGACTTTAGGTTCGACACCTTCCACAGGCGGCGGTTTCGGAGCATTCGGTTCCACATCGCAATCCAGCAGCAGCAGCGGGTTCGGCGGCTTTGGTGGTGCTCAGTCAGCCTCGGGCTTCGGTGCATTCGGAGGTGGCACCACAATGCTCCCGTCTGAAGTGTCATTACTCCTCTTCCCTTCACAGGCACATCCTCTCTGGCCTCGGGCAGCGGTGGCTTCGGTGGTGGGCAAATCTCATCTGGCTTCGGATCGCTTGGAAGCTCACAGCTCCAAAGAAATGAGAAGAAAACAGAGGTCGTCCCATTCGCCAAGAAAGCGGATGGCGAGGCTGTAGTGAAGACTGAGAAGGACGATGGCCTTGAGGCGAGGGCGAAGCCTACTCCTCCACAGGAGAACGACTCCAAGGAAAACACCAAAGGTGATCATTGGTCCAGGCCTCGTAAGGTTAGCACTGAGAACTCTCGTGAGATGTAGGGTAGAATGCCTCGTTGGAAACTACCGACTTAGTGGCTAGTTACTCCACCGTTATTCATGACGTCTACTGCAATTTTTGACCTGAATGGGGTAGAGGGGCTTTGA